AAACTTAAATTTCTTTACCTTTACCTGCAAATTGTAATATTACAAAATATTTGTCATAAAAATATGTTTTATACTTAAATTGCTTTATTACCTTTTTGCTAATTTTGCATTTGGGTGCCAAGAAGTGCCAGGCGCTTTAAAAAAATATTATTTTAGGACTATGTTAATAATAAAAAACGACATGTTTGCTGCTTGGTGCGGACAGACCTTACTTAGAGATAAAAATTCATCTGTTTTTAAATTTGTTTTAAGAAAGCTCAACTTAAATAATGATCGACTTGATAATAGGTACGATATGGTAGCAAAAAAAGTTAATAATTTTAACAGCGCTGAATGGCTAAATGAGTCCATAATTTTTATTGAAGAATTAAATGTACCTGTACCTGGGTCCAGCAGAGGTAGACCAGAAAAATTATTTAAAGATCTCGGCGACCAACGAAAAAGGCAAAAATTAATGACATTATTGGATAACTATTCTACGGAACAGCTTACATTTGCTACTCGTAAAAGTCTAGAATCGTCAGGTCAACGAAATGCTTCAAATATAATTAGGGAAATAACAGAAAATTCACCTAATACAGCAACAAAGATAAAAAGCAATGAATAAAAAAGAAAACTTGCCTATAAAGTATTCCGCAGATGAAGCACTTACTCTTTTTTTTGATTGCTCGCTAACTAAAAAAGCTTATATTTTATTGCAACAAGGAGCAAAAAAACATAATGCAAAAATTTACCCTAATTACAATATACTGTTAGAGGCTAAAACAAAATGTTATCCAAGTGATAATGATATTCGTATAACAGATATATCCGCTGAGGTGAACCTTCAGGCACTCGTTGACCACACAGTAAAAAGAATAATAGAATCTCAGCAAGATCTTTGCAATCACCTACCGCAAAATGTCTCAAAAAATAACATTACTATTAAATACAAATGGGGATGTGATGGCAGTGCAGGACACTCACATTACAAGCAAAAGTTTAGCAATCAATATGAGGAATCAAATTTGGATTTAAATTTATTTTCAGTGTGTCTTGTTCCTCTGCAGATGACATCCAACAATGGCATTATACTTTGGCAGAATCCAAAGCCATCCTCGACCAGATTCTGCAGACCTATAAAAAAAAATTTCAAAAGGAAACTCCTAAATTATGTAGAAATGAAATTAAAAACATTGAAGATCAAATATCAGAAATTAAACCTACAGTTATTGATTATTACGAATTAACTATTAGTCATACATTTAAAATGACAATGATTGATGGAAAGATGTTTTCTGTTATAAGCAATTCTTCAACGCAAACCTGTGGGATCTGTGGAGCAAGTCCTAAAATTATGAACAACTTGAAAATGTTAAAGACACTGCCAATAGATGAAAGATTATATGATTATGGGATTTCAACTTTACATGCATGGATAAGATGCTTGGAATGCTGCCTTCACATTTCCTACAGGCTTGATTTAAAGAAATGGCAGATACGAGACCAAAACGAAAAACAAATTATGAAAGAAAGAAAGAACCATATAATCAAAAGGTTAAAACAAGACTTAAGTTTGTTGGTTGATATTCCTAAACAAGGATATGGCACAACAAATGACGGGAATACTGCCCGTAGGTTTTTTCAAAACTATTGCCAGGCTGCTTTAATAACAAGTAGTTTTTAGCTTATCTCTGTAAACTGTATATTCTGACAAAGGCATTAATTTTGTTGTAGGACTTAACGAAGATTTTCTAAAACACCTATTTATAATACTAAGTACAATGTCATCTGGCTATGAAATTAACATTAAAGCATTTGCAGAGTACTGCAAAAGCACTGCGACAATTTACATTGAGCTGTATTCCTGGTACTATATGCCAATGAGTCTTCACAGGATACTTATTCACGGTCCAGAAATTATTCGGCTGTGCCTCTTCCGGTAGGCATGTTTTCAGAGGAAGCCCTTGAATCTAGGAACAAAGACTTTCGGAAATATCGAGAATCATACTCCAGAAAATTTTCAAGGGAGGAAACTATGAAAGATGTATTTTGTAGGCTACTGCTTTCGTCTGACCCACTCATATAATCATTATCCAAGTGTGTAGGTACTCGTTCCAATAAGCAACCCTTAAACAACAAAGTTTTAAAATTGCTTCAAGAGCCTCATTTGCCAAATGAAATGTATGAAAATGAAAACATTTGTGATTCCGAAAATTCTGATTAATAATTGTGTAATAGGTTAAGATTTTTTGCTAGTATAATTATAACCTTGTTAGTATTGCGTTTTGTTGTGGATGCATTTTCGTACATTAAAAATACCTATTATTTTGTTATATTATTTAAATTTAATAATTTAAATAAAAATAAAACACCATGTTAATTAAATCTGAATAAAAATAAAATCGATAACGTGATTTACAAATTAAAAAATAAATATTTACTTATTAGTAATTTTATTTGCTGATTAGAACTGAATTGTTTATAAACACTCTGTATATCGTCAAGAGCTCAAATAGAACAACTTAAAAATAGTTAATTAACGTATCTAAAGCTATTTAGACAACTTAAAGACAGTTAAACCCAAATATTTTTATATTTGTATTTATTACCGCCTAATTTACCATAAATGACCTCTGTGGGTCGGTTGGGTTGTGTTGTTGAGTTTGGGTTGGTTTGGGTTTAGGACGTAACTAACGTGCCTTTAACATTTCGAATCGCGGCACGTTAGCGTGCCTCTAGTCACAGCGAATTAATAATTAAAGATAACCTTAAATTTAACTTTTGTTTCGAAAGTTACAGATATACTAGACTATTCTTTATTATGGTTTCCATGGTACCCAAGCGAGCGTTTTGCTCGGCGAGCGACGAAGTACAAAAACGCTCGCTTCCCGGAAAAGTGCAACTTTAAAAGCGCAAATTTGTATTTTTCGCAACGTTGTAGAAAAAGAATATTGTCGCTGTTGAAAAATGGGTAACTATAGAATACTGGCATTTGATTGGTTCCAATATTAATAAATTGTATTGTAAATAAAAAAATGTGATAATAAATACCTAATAATTATTAATAGTTTGTTTTAATTTTTTAACGACCCGCTATCAATTCACAATCATTCGAAGCCCTTCTTTTTCTCATCGTACTGGTCCTAAGTTTGACCCTAGACTGATTAAACTCCATACTTACTACTACTAGAACTATTTGGAGATAGTTTATTTAAACTCTACTTATATGTGCTGTACCAAACAACATTAACAATGGTACCTACCAACAAAAAGTTATATGTTTAAATACTATTTTAACCACCACTTTGTGTGTATGTTTTAACCCAGCAACTATTTGTCAATTTACACAAAAATATATAGAAGGCTCTGGAGCCAATTTTTTGTGGATTCCTCTAACTTATTATTCTTAATGTAAAAAAACATATGTTTTATTGGGTTAAGTCGTTTTCTAAGCTTTAAAAAATATTGGATTAATCTTTTTAACTGCATGCATAAACCTTGCCTAAAATAGAAAACATATAGCACTTAAAAAATTAAATTAAATTTCTATACTTGCCTGATTTATAGATTGCATTCCTCCCTTCCTCCCGTAAAAAATGAACAATACAAAAACCTTAGTCCCGTACGGGAATCTATAAACAGCACAGCGGTTTTCTTTGGTTTTACGGGAGGAAGGTAGGAAGAAAGGAAGGCAATCTATAAATCAAGCTTTACTCCTACAACTAAATCGAACCTGTAGATCTTGATTTTTATTTGGTGTTTACTGTTTTTTTACAACACGCATTTACTTTAGGCGTCGTCGAGCGTGTGAAAAATAAGCGTGCAGAAAAGTGCAATTTTCCTCACAGTATGCGTGCGTAAGTATGCAACTTTCTGAACGCTTGTAGAAAAAAAAACAGTAAACACCACAGACCTACAAACACCAAACAATAAAAATCAAATTCTACTGCCTCGATTTAGTTGTAGGAGTAAGCATAAAAATTTTATTTTTTTAACTTGTTTTTGCTATTTTTGTTGTGTCATTAAATGTTTTTTCTACTCCTATTACGAAATATCATTTTAAAATCACTTTTTAATGTGGAAAATAAACACTGGTTTACTATCTAACAACTTTTAGACCGATCCAACCTCACTTTCTTCCAATTAAATTATTTTTTTATGGTATGTTTTGGAAACGTAGAAAAAGTATTGTCTAAAACACATTTGGAATTGCATATTCTGCTCTCGTGTGAGAAACTTTTTACTCGAGCGGAATATGCCGTATTCCAAACTTGTTACAGAATATACTATTGGTATTGAGGTATTGAGTTTTATTAAGTAGAACCATTAAAAGAAGAAAAAAAGAATTTGTATACATATCCCTACAACGAAATCGAGAAGGAAGAACTCGATTTTTATTAACCCCCTTAGGGGTGAAATTTACAAAAATCTTTTCGGTTATCCATGTCATTACAGAATTGCACTGTCAAAATTTCAGATCTTTAGGTCCAGTGGTTTGGCCTGGGCGTTGTCTGTCAGTCACCGAATTTTTTTATAAATGTGTATTACTAAAATTTAGTAAAAAGCTGACAGTACAATAGTTTGTGAAATTGCACTGTCAAAATTTCAGATCTTTAGGTCCAGTGGTTTGGCCTGGGCGTTGTCTGTCAGTCACCGAATTTTTTTATAAATGTGTATTACTAAAATTTAGTAAAAAGCTGACAGTACAATAGTTTGTGAAATTGCACTGTCAAAATTTCAGATCTTTAGGTCCAGTGGTTTGGCCTGGGCGTTGTCTGTCAGTCACCGAATTTTTTTATAAATGTGTATTACTAAAATTTAGCAAAAAGCTGACAGTACAATAGTTTGTGAAATTAAATCTTTAAAACTTGTTTTCTTTTTATATTGGTTTGAATTATTAAGATTTATAAATCACTTAAGTAAGATCAGATTATTCACATTTACTGTTTTAAAAGGATTTAAATTTTATTATAAGATTTTTTTTCCTGAATAATATTTTTATTAAAAATACTTAACCTACTAATACATAATATTAATCACATACTATTAAAACATTTATTTATTTTACAAATAATTCGACTAAAAACTATAAGTCTATAAAAATAAATACTACTAATCATGCTTTTGTACGGGTAAAGACACCCACAATATTAACAAAAATACGAAAACCCTGAGCTAAGATGTAACCGGTAACCAAAGTTGTAAGTCTGAAGCATTTTATCCTTGTACGAAATTTTACTAATAACTACATGGCATTCAATAATCTATCACTGTTTAATAAACTCAGTTCTCCTGTTTTTCAATTGGTTTTCCATTTTCATCAATCTCTAAAGAGGGTATTAATGGTGGCATAAATCCATACTCTAACCTCAAGTTGCTATCGAAATTTGATCTTGGTGTTCGAAGTTTCTTTGGAAACCTAACATTTCTTTGATGTTGATGTCTTGGTGGAATTAATCCTATATACTCTTCAGGCTTAATTGTGTAATATTGTGTTTTTAAACCTGACGATTGAACTTGATGATCGCAATTTTCTTTTGGAGGCAAGTATCCGTTATTGACTAAGTTTTGAGGAACATATCCTTTAACGATTTTTAAATCATGTTTGTCAGGAATATATTGTTTTACATGAGTTGGTGCATATAAATAAGTATTGGGGTAGATTATACTTTGTGGTTGTTGTATGGATTGTTGCGTGTGTTGTTCTATATGTCCAAATCCGTTGTTTTGTACATTTTGTAGTTGTACTTTAGTGAACTTTGTAGCTTGTTGCTGCTGATTATTTTGTTGATTGTATTGTTGATTGTAATGTTGATCATGTTGATGTTGCTGTTGATGTTGCTGTTTCTGCAGCTGCTGTTGTATTTGTTGGTGATATTGTTGTTGTGGAATTCTTGCCTGATAAACTATATGTTGGCCATTTGTATTCTGTCCAAAATGTCCTCCTTGAATAAAATGTACTTGTGATATGGCACCTTGGTTTTGATGGTATTTCGAAATATCAGCATTAACATTTTGTTGATGCGTGTATTGCGTTGGTACAGGGTATGGACGGTCCACATATTTGGTAACTGGTTTTTCCACGATTTTCTCAACGTAATGTGGCACAGGAACCTTTTTCTCAACTATTTTTTCGACTGGTACTTGAACTCTAACTAATTTTTCAACAGGGTATGGTACAGGATATGGCCTGTCTATGTACTTTGTTACTTCTACAGGCTTTTCGACGATTTTCTCAACAGCATATGGTTGTGGTATGTGTATAGGTTTTTCTACATATTTGGTTATATGAACTGGTTTTTCAACAATTTTTTCCACAGGAACCTGAACTGGGTAAGGTCTGTCTATGTACTTTGTAACCACTATTGGCTTTTCAACAATTTTCTCAACTGGAGCAGGGACTGGAACATTATTCTCCACTAGGTAGGACTGTTGCTGGATGGGTATTTGTACAGGAACATGAACGGGATAGGGTTGATTTTCAAATTTAATTAATGGATCTGGGTTCCTAATAGTATATGGAAGTTGGAAAAATTGCACATTAGGTACTGGGTGGTAAGCTTGCAATTCCTCTTGTTGAACAATCTGATATTTTTGTTGATTTTGTTGATCTTCCTCGTAATATTTTTGTGTTTCTTCCTTTTTATGTTGTTCTATGTTTTGCTGTTCTACTTCAGCTTTGTGTTGTTCATGCACGATCTGGTTGTGTATGGAAACTTGTTGAGATTCGCTTTCGGTTTGTTCAACTTTATTAAGAAAATTGCTTTTAATTTCTTCTGAAAAGCTCTCTTCAGCCTGTTTAAATTGTTCAGCAAAGGATTGCTGTACTTGGACTTGCGGCAATTGTTGAACTTCGACTTGCGGCAATTTTTGGACTAAGGCTTGCGCTCTTGGTAAAGATTCTACCGGGAAATACAGCAAAGTTTTTCCCAACTCAATATTTTCTTGTGCAGCTTGTTCATAGCTTGCATTATGACTTATGGTTCTTTGCTCAGTGTGATAAGATGGTTTTTGTTCAAATTCATATTTTCCCAAATAGTATGGTAAGCTCTTCTGTACCTCCACGACATATTGCCTACTTGGATTTAATACGGTTTTAGTAGCTTGTTCAACATTTTCTAATCTAATTCCTGCCGTAATTGGAGCCAAAAAGTTTACCGATACTGGTCTTGGCGTTACCCAAATACCAGATTCTTCGGTCTGGGTTGAACTCGCTGTAGTAGAATCGCTGCTAACAGTGGATGATTTAATACTATTATCTTCATATTCAGCTACTACAATTGGTTCCTTATCCAAACTGGATTCTGTCACTGGAGCTGGAGTATTGGATTGTCCATCATGATTTATTTCAACTCTAGTTAATAGGGTTGACAAGGTAGCTTCGGTTGGAGCGTACTCTGAAACTATGGATTTGGCGGTGCTTGTTACAACTGTAGATTCATCTTTCTCTGAGATAGCTTCGTTGATGTTTAACACATCTGCACCGGACACGAGATTTTTAGTGTGTTCAATTAATGTACTTTTAATGTTTATCTTATCTCCAAACCTTGTCTCACGTTCCCTCTGTTCATCCTCGAAAGCAAGTTGCTGTTGTTCAGCCTCATTGATAAGAACTTGAAGTTGTTCGGAATGTCCTTGTTGTTCTTGATTTTCTATTTGTACGTTGATTTGAGGTTGTTGCTTTTGAATAAACATATGCTGTTGTTCTTGGGTCGGTTGGATTAGGACTTGTTGCTGAACGGGTTGAATTAAAGGTTGGGGTTGGGGTAGAGGCTCGTATGTAAGTTGTTGTGGAAGTGGTAAAATTTCTTGCTGCAATAAAACCGGTTGCTGTTGTTGAATGGGGAATGACTTTTGATGCCTGTAGATGTTTTGGGTTAATTGATCCTTGGTATTCTAAAATTATATGTTTAGTCATAAAAATAAGAAAATAGATTTAAGTTACTTCTTTATTTCTAAAAGCTTTAACTGCTTCGGTGCCAAGAACAAATTGAGCACGGGCTTTGCTGTGTGGTCCTTGGTTACTGTATTCTACATAGGGATGATAGCCCCAATCATCTGCCACATATTGAACATTTTGTTTGGAGTCGAAACCCTCGACGTAATATCTAAAAATCAACAATAAATATAGTAGGTATATTGATATAATGGTTATTAAACTATTATTTTCAAAAAAACAATTCTGATAATATTATATAAGAATCTTACCCTCCCTTAGCGAAAATTCCGTCTCTTTGTTCTAATTTTCCTTGGGCTTCACCTCCGTTATTGTCAATGTTATAGCCATATTCGTATTTGGGAGGATTCTGAAATTAAAAACATTTTATACTTATCCAAAATAACCAAAATTAAGCAATTTAAGTTAATAATAATAATAATAATAATAATAATAATAATAATAATAATAATAATAATAATAATAATAATAATAATAATAATAATAATAATAATAATAATAATAATAATAATAATAATAGTATATAATAGTAATAATAATATATTTATTAATAGCAAAGTTATTAACATATAGTTTTGTTTTAATGAATAATTAATTTGTTAAACAAAAGTCAAGAAAAATATAAAAATAAAAATTCCGCATAATTTATTAAAAGCCTATACGCTTAAGAAGGCGCTCAATAGCAATATTGGACTACAAGGTTTGTCAACAATTCATTTAAAGCATACGAACTGCACATTATTTTTATATAAAAAAGTATTTTTATCATAAAAGAGAGAAAGGCTTTTGCTTGGTTTAGTACTTGATTTCGATTTATTATTCTTTATATGCTTATATAGTTATGTTTGTGTGTGTATTTTATTAAGTGATCATAGTGAATTATTGTGTTTTTAATGTTAAATTTAATTAATCGAAAGTTGCATTTTCATGTTTTGCCAAAAGATCTACGTATATTTGCTGGTGCAGAATTAAATAATGATAAGTTTACCTACTGTAGTTTATATTTAAGTTTGGATACTTTTAAGAAATCTAACCTAAAATATAAGTTATACCATTGAGTAAAATGTTCCTTAGTCAATGGTTATACAAAGATATCCTTTAAATCAAGACTTTCTCAATCAACGCTTTTAATAATTCATAATGCTTAGGGCATTTAGAATTGATATTGAATTTATAATTTAAATATTATGCTGGTATGGAAGCAGACTTTTGTAAAGTTTTTATAGTATTTTTATGCTATTTTTACTCTTTTTGTAAGGGTGTTTTTTTAAACGATCTTTTAGTAAACTAAAAAATCGTATGAGATCTACAGCGATTGAGTAATTCAAAACAAGTTCAAAGAAGGTCGTTATAAAAAGATAGTTCTTTTGTTTTGTAAATTTAAAAAAAAATATGTATTTTCCATTATTTTTCTGTAAAGTAGTGCCGCCGCATTAAACAGAAAGATATATTTGTCAGTTATTTTCAATTTTTTTAAATCATTAAAATATTGTTTAATACAATTTTATACAATAATAAATTAAATTATTTTACCACCTAAAAGTTGCTTTCCAATAATTATTTTTGTAAATTACGCACCTAATTTAAGAATTTTTTCACCTAAAACAGAAAAAAAACTTTTTATAAATTTGGCAACCTAAAATCCCATGTCTATTTTTCATATATTTATTGTTAGAACCGGCTTTAACCTTCGCGAGGCCCTGGGCCATGTACGATTTCGAGGCCCTTTCAATTGTTTCGCCTTTATCTCAGACCCGACTCATTTCTGAGCCCTACATAATTTTTACGCGTCTGTTCTGATTCAGAACTTCTGAATGCATAATATGGTTAAACGCGATAATCATTTTTGACAGATCGAAACTAGATTTCAGAATCCATTATAACAATTCAGGACAAATATTATTTTTTTTGTTTTTTTCAGAAAAAAAATTTATATTTCAAATTTGGGTACCTATTTTTTTGTTATTTTGAATGTTGTACAACTTTGATAATTTAAATAATATTGGTATTACCAAATATGACTGATTACTAAAGATGGGATATTTAGGTACTAAAAACTGAAAAATAGGTAACTAAAAAGGTACTAAAAAAAGCATTTTAGGTTAAAAAAACAGCATTTTAGGTAAAAAAAAACATTAAACGTTCAAGTTTCGTTTATAATTTTGTTTAACCGCATACCCAAACACAGAACATAACCACAATGTTGTGTTTCACTGAGTGACACTCACTACACAGAAGTTCTATGACAGAACATAAGCTCACTATAAAGAAGGTAACTGTAAAGAAAGATACTGTTGCAGCATTGAGTAAGATGACTTCTTTACTCAATGGTTACAGTCTGTGACCATAAGAAAAAATTCTATACCGTTGAGTTGCACGCCCTGGATAAAATATTGGCGCAAAGTTTAAAAAGAACACAAAAAAATAAAATAAGTAAAAATAGGTAACAAATAGGTGAAAATAAACTGACAAATTAAAAAATATGTAACAAAAGTAGAAAAAGGTAGTTTAAAGCAAAAACCTCCAAAAAAGGTAAAAAAGGTAAAAACAAGTTAAAAAATAGGTAACAAATAGGTGAAAATAAACTGACAAATTAAAAAATAGTTAACAAAAGTATAAAAAAGGTTGTTTAAAGCAAAAACCTCCAAAAAAGGTAAAAAAGGTGAAAACAAGTTAGGTTAATATAAAAGAAAATCTTTTAAAACACATTTTGGCATTATTGGTTTTTAAATATCGGTTGAAAAAAGGTAAAATAACTAAAATCCCATCCCTACTGATTACAAAAATAAATAAAAGTAATAAATTTTGAAAACGCGTTTTTATGCTAAAAAAACAAATCTTATGTTGTATTAAATACCTATTAAATTTTGGTCATTCACCTTTAATAATAAAATATTCATTTGTTGTATTAGCCTAATATATTAAAAAGTTTTTTGGCACAGCCAATTGTAATATTTCTTAACTTATAAGTTTATAATCATTTATTTAAAGTTAATATAACGTTTGTGAGTTTTTTTTATAAAAACAATTGTCTAAATAAATAAATTGGAATCATTCCCGAGTTAAAACTGCTTTTTCTTGACTCATTGAATCTTTAAACCGCTGTGTTAAATGGAATGGAAACTTATGCCTAGTTTAAATTTTAGAAATAAAGTGTTTCAAATTGATAAGAAATAAATCTGCATCAGATATTAAATTAGTTCCTTGAAAAAAAATTCTTGGAATCGTGAAATTCATTTTTTAAGCACTTGGTAGCATCGGATCGAGCTAAAATTTTGTGCATACTTGTGTTGTTCGTGGCAATACAATTAAGTATACTTCACATTGCAATTTATAAGTAACTTATAATATCTAAAATAGAATTAAAATTAAAATGGCAACTGTTGTAGTAATACTGCGACGTTGCCCAATTTCTCCATATTTAATTGCGGTGTTGTCAGGTGATTTTTTAAATTAAAGTCCTAATGGGAATTAAAATCATATATGTACGGGGTAACCCAGCAAAATATCAAGCAATACTTTGACAGGTATTAAGTTTACAGGTGACACATGTCAAATGACAGATGACAGGTGACAAGTGACAGTTTATAAGTGACAGATGACAAGTGACAGATGGCATGACGAATATATGTTAATCTGGACGTCAATAATTTATAATCCATTTTTTATATTTATTTATGAAATAAAAAAGATAACTGTTAACAACCTAAGGCTAACCAAATACAGGGGTACAAAAAAATATCAAGTAATAATGCGACGTTGCCAAATTAATTTAATTGATTAGTTTGGAAAATTAATTTTCTAAAATTAATTTCTAAGTTTAAAATACATTTTTTTTAGGCGTACAATTATTTTTATATTATAACACTCATAAGTCTATACAGAAATACTTTTTATTAATCCTAGTTCAAAGGTAAAATTATTATTAAACTCCGTACAGAAATAAGGATAAAACGTCATCATGTCATAAAATTATATGACAATCTTATTATTATCTAATTATTTAATTAAGAGCTTGAAAAAAATAGTACATAAACACGGCGGCGAAAGCTTATCAAATGCCTCGAACACAATCGGCTGTCGCCTCGGCAGTGAAATGTATTTTTGGCGATAATATGTGTTTCTCCGCCTGGTCTATAATGTACAATTTGTTGGAAGATATAAATTATATTACAGAATTTGTATATTATATTTTATAAAATAGTAAAAAAATGCACTTTAACTTTTGGATTGGTACTGTTCTTAATCTCACGGATGGTGTGAAGATATTAAGGTTATCTAATATCTATATTAGATAATCTTAATACCTTCACACCATAATTAAATCCGTGAGATTAAGAACAGTACCAATCCAAAAGTTAAAATGAATTTTTATTACAATGTTTTTATTATTTTATAAAATATAATACCTATAAAAATTCTGTAAAATAATTTATATCTTTTAACAAATTGTAGGTACATACATTAGAGACCAGGCGGAGAAACATATATGAAGGTATTAAGACAGATAATTAAGGACCAGATTTTAAGCAAAATGCCTTTTTGTTTTTATTTTAGGGGCATTTGTTTGGGACCTTGAAATTAATCCTAAACATAAAAAATAAAGCGTTTGACACCCCTTTGTTTTTGTCTAAAAGCCTAAAATGGTGAAATTTTGATTTATTGTTCCAAAAAGGACATTTTTATGAGCCTAAAATAGGCTCGTTGAATTTTTCATTAAAAAATATATTTTTTATTGCGGAAAAGTAAATTATTTTTAATTAGACCCTGCTTTCATGCTCTTATTTCGCTTAGACGCCCTTGACGAGTACGAGGACCACAAATTACAAAACTAGTGAAAACCTAATAAAAAAAGTAATTGTGTTTTCGCTATCTAAATATTAATTATAAATAATAATGGATAATATTAAGTTTGTAAAATAATGGTTGAAAATTATTATGTACTTTGTATGGACGTTTTGTCCGTTGGATTAATAAATGATTATTATTATTATTATTATTATTATTATTATTATAGGTTTTTCTGTAATTTCCATATATGTATATGGTAATTTCAGACTTTTTAACAGTTTTTAGTAATATAATTTGTCGCCATCTATGGCATAATTAAATAACTCTCCACCATTTACAGGTGGTAAATAGTTTTTTTATAAACACAATAGATGGCTAAAGCCAAGTACACATTCTTTGGAAGTGTGTTTGACAACCGTTAGAATCAACGTATCGTGTTTTTGTTTGTTTTTGTTTATATTTTTTGTTCAGCCTCGCCTGTTTATTCCAATATATATGGGGTATTCCATGCCACTTTTAACCCAACCCCTTTTGATCTTGCCAAAAGTTTTCCATTCTTTTCAACCCTTTGAAAAACATTTTTAAAAAAAATTTCAAATTTTTTTATCCAACCGCAAAAAAGTTTTAAATTTAAAAAAAAAGATTTTTTATTTTCAAATAACCATAACTTTGTCAAAACTTGACATTTTGGTATCTTTTTTTTTTGAAATTTTTGTTTTTAAATGAATTTTTCGAAAAAATAGACAAAAAAAAATTTACATGATCAACTCTATGAAATTATCGCTTTTTTTAATAAAATCGTTATTTTTGCGAAGTTCGCCATTTTTTAATTTTTATTTTTTTTTTCTCAAAAAAATTGATTGAAATCAATGTGTTTTTTTTCTATTTTTTTTATTTAATTAAAAAAAAATTGTCTAATTTTCAAAAATTAATTTTTTGTTTTTTTCACAAACTTTATTTATATAGGTAATAAAAAAAATTTTAAGTTGAATTTTTCTCTTGGAAAGTTAAATATTATGAATTTAAATTAAATTTTAAGATTACCTAACTAAAATGGATAATTTCTATCATTAACATTTTATTGTGCTGGCAATGCTTTCTGATTCATGTAATTAAAAAACACAAACAACAATAAAAATGAGATGCATTGGCTAAAATGCAGTCACTAAAATAAAAATTAAATTATACGTAATTTGCAAAAGATTATCATATTCTAAAAACAGTATTTTATTTCAGAAACGAAAGTTGGACTTTTACTTGATTGTTAAATTATAATTTTATTGGACAAAAAACAAATAAAATGTTTAATAAACATTGTTTATAAGCCATTAATTTTATTAAATTTGTCAAATACCTTATTGTATAGAAAAACAAATTCTTAATGATAATGAAAAAGCAAGATTTAAATAATTTAAAAATGCCAATTATTGCTCATTACTCACCTCATCAGGAACTTCCGGGGGTTTAATATATCCAGGAGGTTTTACAGCTTGTGACGGAATAAATGTAGGTATTAAAAGCAACACCATCTAAAAATAAAAAAGTTTTTATTGCAAAAATTACTTTTTAAAATTTTATTTTCGTTATTGGGTAATAATTGTTTAACTTAAATTTGGTTTAAAATTCTTTCTGCAACAATCAGATTTGATGGTAAGTCTTTGTATACGATTTTTCGTTAAAATTACGCTTTTGTTTAGATCTAGGAACTAAACTATTCATAAGTTAAAAAGTTAAATTTAAATTTTTTCGCACTTCCCTACAAAATTGTCCCAAACAAATTTATTTGGATCATATATATATATATATATATATATATATATATATATATATATATATATACATTTTAGTCAAAAACTAGATTGTATATATACATTTACATAAAAATTAGTAAAAGTTTACATGCATTTACTAGTAAATGCGTCCATACATTTGGCACAAGCATCAAGTAAAAGTATATTACAGTAACTAGCTTGTGTCACAGTCAAAATATAAATTTTGGCAGATGTATACATACAAAAACTAGCAAGTGTATACATTTACATAAAAAATAGTAAAAGTGTACTTTTACAAGTAAATCCGTACATTTACTAGGGAATGAATACATTTCAAGCATCAAGTAAAAGTATAATACAGTAACTAGATTGTGTATATGTCACAGTCAAAATATAAATTATTATATAATTATTATTCAAAAACTAGCTAGTGTATAATTTTACGTAAAAAAATGAGTAAAAGTGTACTTTTACTAGTAAATACGTACATACATTTGCTAAGTATAATACAGTAAGTACAGTAGAAACCACTAATATATAAACGTGACTCATCGGGTGTCGAACATATCTCAGACATGCTAGCAGTAATGTTTTACTTGTCTTGTACATTCGTTGCAGCGGTAAATGTACTCACACGTAGGTTTTTAAGCATCCGGTCTAAAATGCGCCATCTGTGATGTAAAACTGCCTAGGTGTTGGACAAAGATGGACATATGACGCGTGTCCTAGCTTGTTACTTATATTCAGTAGAGTTCGTGTTTTAGGCATTTATTTTATTTTATTACATAGTAAGGCAACCAACTTTACCGTCGGCCATTTGTTTTTATATGTCATATGATCTTTGTTTTTGCATATCGTGTTTCTACTGTTTGTTTACGGATTAATAATCGTTTTAAACGTTGTAGTGGCAGTGGTTTATATTATGTAACACAGGTAGATGTCGTATAAAAATCCTTACCTAGAAATTCTAGGCTAGAATACAAAAATATTTTTATTATATAAATTTTGTACTAGTATTAGTTTAATACATTCTGAAGAAGCTAGTGTGTAGCGAAACAATTGTCAATATTTAATAAATTTCGTGAAACTAACGCAAGTTGTTTTTATATCCACACAATTTGTATTTATATCTTTCACTTTGTACCTGACCTGCGTGAACATTTTTGTTTTTTGTCACCAATTCTGAAATATTTGCGTTTACAGTTAAAAGAATAGTATATTCTGTAACAAGTTTGACGGTTTCACGAGATGGGAATATGCAATTCCAAACGTGTTTCAGACTATACTAAGAATTTAATTGGAAGAAAGTGACGTTGGATCGGTCTAAAAATTTGTTATTAAAATCAGAGATGTCGCCACGAGTGTACGTTCTGTCATCAGATGATAGAATATTTCATTAAAGTTAAAAGAAAAGTTTATTTATTAATTAGTTTCTAAGAAAATTACATTTTATTTAATTATCGTAGATGTTAATTATGTTAGATGTTAATTATTTAACTTTAAAAGCAAATATATCATAAGTATAGCAACCAACATTACACTCAAGATTTTTTACAAACGGGACTGCACTGGACCGTGACCTTCGATAGATTGCTTCGTACGAATGTGTCGGATGAGTCACGTTCATATATTAGTGGTTTCTACTTTAATTGTGTATATGTCACAGTCAAAGTATAAACTTTCGTAAATGCATACAAAAACTAGCTAGTGTATACATTTAGGTAAAAAAATAGCATAAGTCTACTTTTACTAGTAAATGCATTTATTTTAATGCATACATTTACTACGAGCATCAAGTAAAAGTTTAATATACATTCAAGTAAAATTATGGCGTACATTTACTGTTAATTGGTTTTGTGTGTTGGGTTGGTTGGGTGGTTGTTTGGGTTGGTTAGTTTAAGTTTATGTACTTTTGCTACCTTTTGTGGCGTAAAAGTATACATCTACTAATAAGTAAGCACATAATGCGCTTCTGCATAAATTTACACGTAAAAGTATGGAACAAAAATATCTGTACTTTGACTAGTAAATGGATGGTTTTGTGGTTTGTTGGTTAGTTTTAGTTTATGTACACTTTTGCTTTGTGTCGTCAATGTATACAGCTATACTACACCTTTTCCAGTTGATATTCAGAAAATAGGAATTGTAATTCAGTTATTACAGTTGATATTCAGATAGTAGGAATTGTAATTCAGCTATTCCAATTGATTTTAAGAGAGTAGCATATGTAATTCAGATAACACAATTGATTTTAAGAAAGTAGCAATTGTAATTCAGATAACACAATTGATTTTCAGAATCTTGCAATTCTAATTCAGAAAGTAGCAAATGTTTTTCAGATTAAATCAAATGTAATTCAGCTGCAGCAATTGTTTCAGGAACAGTGGGTTGAATACAGTAAATCGATGATGAATGAAAGTACACGTTATCTTTATTAACTAAGTTAATGAAATTTCTACAAAGTACAAATGAACAAAATTCGGTCCTTACTTGCAATAAGTCGACAATTATGACAAATATACCCACTTAAATGGTGATAAATTTGTTTATTATTGTCAATTTCATGGAAACAAAGCAATATACAAAGGAATACATTAAATTGAGATTTTAGAAAATAAGTAAAATGAAGTGTGAAAATGTTATCATTTGTTAATTTCTGAATTTCAATTGACATATTCTGAATTACAATTGTTACTGTCTGAATACTATTTGTAATTTCTGAATATCAATTGCTACTGTCTTAATATCATTTGCAATATCTGAATTACATCAGCTACTTTCTGAATATCCTTTGAAATATCTGAATTACATTTGCTATTTTCTGAATTTCATTTGCAATATCTGAAAATCAATTGCTGCTTTCTGAATATCAATTGCTACTTTCTGAATATCAACTGGAAAAGGTGTAGTAAGTAAGTTATTGTGCTTCTGAATACATTTACGTATCAAAATCAGTTATTGTATACAAGTTTATATACTTTAGCTAGTCAGTGTATACATTTACATAATTTTCATGATTTTTTGTTAAATTTATGCATTATTTGTAAAATGTTTTAGTTTTAAATACGAGGAAATGTTTTATGTTGTCGAGTTTGTGATAAAAATATTTCGTGCGCAAAAGAGATTAATAGACCAGCATGTAAAGTCAAAAATAACAACCTAGTATTATTTAATATTATTTAATCATTTTTCTAGCATATTTCAAACTTTTTATGTTGCACTAAAAATATAATTAAATGTGATCACTATTGATCACCGGGAACAATTAACAGTAGAGTTTTTATTAAATTTCCTATGTATAAATTAGATTCTATAAATAAATATTAAAATTTTAAATTATGAATCATAATCCCAGTCAAACATTGAAAACCGATTTCACTGGCATTTATATTGTTTATTTTTTATGAATTTTGATTGTTAATATGAAAGAAGAAAAACTTTGGCACCCTATAGGTATAACCGTATAAGAAATGCGAAATAATTGATCAATCTTTTAAAGCCACATTTTCATAACATGTTTAACGTGTATTGCATTTCTATAAAAACCTCCCTAAATAAACCTTAATATAAAATTGGTTAAATATTTCGTTTATACAAAATATTAAAAAAACAATGCCTATTTTTTTCTTTGACAAAACACCACCATGATTAATCAAATTAAATTTTCTACTTATTGTAGTTGCACGGAAATACCATTTTAAAACTTAACATTCGTTAATTTTACATAAGCTTTGAAGTGCACATGTAGTAATGTGGAATTTTCATTAAAATATTCTTATTTTCGCTTGATCAAATTTTACACGAACAATGTATAACTTGTTGGTAATTAATATTTGCCCATAGAAGATGTATTTGTTTTATTCCAACTATAATTAAATAAATCTATTACAGTAGGTAACGTTAATAACAACTAAAGACATTTTAATTACTTTTGTTTTTATGTACGTTAATATTTGGACCTGAACAAATGACAGTTGCTTTAATGTAACGGTATACTTTTTTCTTATTTAATTTTATATTATGAAAATATTGACGAACAGATCTTGAGTAGTTATCTTAAAAAATAGAAGAATACATCGTGAATGGGTTTAAATAAATAAAATACTTTATTTGAGTTTTTTAACTAATTTAAGTGGGATTTAATTATGCGACACCATAATATATTATAATAATATAGTTCTGTAAGGTATTAGCAAAACTTATAATTTATTAACACACATTTTCTATGTTATTAAAATAATTTTATTAAATGAAGGATAAGTTATTTTTAATCAAATTGTTGACGCTAATTATATTATCTCCACTCTTGATATACTTAAAATACGTAGGAAAAAAATATGTGACGGTCTAAATATAAGAATATATAATAAAAATATAAGAATATAGTAAAATTGTTGCAACTACTTTAAAACATCACATTTAACCTTAAAATGTTGCAAAGCTATAGAAAATTGCAGGAAAATTATTAATTTACTATGTTATTTCAATAAAAACATTAGAATAAAAGTTTTTTCGAAATATGTACCTATATCAATATTTTACTTGGGGAATTAACAAAAATTAATGTTCCTTCAAAAAGAACTACCCTAATATATATATATATATATATATATATATATATATATAATATATCGATGGTTATTTGACAAAACATCGTAAGCGACAAAACCTAAATTTTACAGGAGAGATTTTTTTTGTGTAGGAGCTTTATTTTTTAAGTTATTTATCTGAAAACGGGTGAGGCATTATTTTATTAA